ATCGTTACTCTAGTTTGAAGCTGTGTGAACACACTCTAGGGAAGCCAGAGGAGGGAAGGAATAATTCTGCCTGGTGTGGGGCTAAGAGGAAGGCTTTCTAGAGGGAGCAGCAGTTGAACTGGACCTTGAAAGTTTTGTGGGACATCATTGGACTAGAAGGGACACTTTTAGGACAGGAAAAGGTGAGCAAACCCGCAGAGGCACAGAAGAGTACAGTGTGCTTGGTTAATACGCTCTACCAGGCTGGAAAGAGAAGCTGGAACCAAGCTGTGAAGGACTTTTAATAGCCATAGTACATTGTTTGGACTTTACCTTGTGCAGTGGTGGGAAGGGGGTGGGGAATCAGGTAATAAATTGGGCGATCAGTTCCTGAAATAGTCAATACTGAACTTAATTAGATTCTGGTGACTGCATTGAAAAGCATAACAGATTTTAGAGTTGAAGGGCCAGGCTTGAATCCCAATGTGTTGATTATAAGCCATGTGGCCTTGACCAGCTTATTTAACCTCAGCTGTAAGAGGAGGCTAATAAGTATATCAGCCTTACAAGGTCATTATGAGAACAGAAGGAGACATTAGATAAAAATGGTTTCTATACTGTTAAGCACTGTGTAAATGTTAATTAATAATATTGTTATTTGGTGCCAGAAAAAAGGGAGATGCTGGGAAAGTGTCTGTTTGTTTAATATCGTCTCTCTGTGTTGTAGAGAATTCTGGGATTTTCAGCAGTGTAAATGCTAATGGTTTGCTTTCCACGTGCCATGAAAACTGTTTTTAGATGTGATGCTTCTAAACTTGGTATACAGCCTCGCACAAACGAGGGCAATGGGAAACTAGCATTTTCTGAGTACGGTCCCGTGCCAAACACTTGGCAAACATCGTCTCGTTTAATCTTCACTGTCACCCTTTGAGGTAGTTATTATCCCCATTCTACAGATTAGGAAATCAACATTGAGAGTTAGCTTGTCCAGATGAATTAGGAAGTGGCAGACCGTGGACTTGAAAGTCGTATCTATGCTGTCATGCTTGTTGCGCCTCACTGTGCTGTCCCACAGAGAGCAAGGTGGGCGAAGGGCTGTCTTAGCCCCCAGTGGCCTTCCAATTTCCAGCTCCAATTCACCTGAGATCTTGATATCCTTACAACTGTCTCCTTCTTTATTTAAACTAGCTGGTCCTGCAATCAAATAGCCTAGATCAAACAAGCACACAGTAAATTCTTGCAGGATGACTGGCCAGTTGGTGTATCTTTTATCACTTCTCTAGATGTTTTCACCCTGAGCACCACCTACTACACTTTATTGATTTCACTGTATTCTTTGGTCTGCCATTTGGTTCTGGGGCCATTGTTCTGGAAGAGTGAATAAACAATGCTTTAGAAATTACTCACCAAAGAGATGAAAAGATACTGGAACAGAGGTATTGATAAAACATTCATGGGAGGGAGGCTATTTTAGATGGTCTGTATACTTGTGAATGAATTATATAATGTCTCTAAAATCTGTATGATGATTTATTTCAATGTATTGTAAAATTTAATTCTGTTATAGGTTAGGATTTTTGGTTCCACTTTTAATAATAACAAAAAGCCTTTTATATAAAGTAGAAAGGGCACACACTGAAAAGCAAAGAACAGTCTTTCTTGTTGACTAGCAGTGACATATTTCCTTAGAGGAAAAATCCTGCAGCAGACTTTGAGTGTCAGGAAGAAGAATAATTTATGACCTTAATACTGTAGCCGAAAAGAACAGTTAACCATTCCTTTTTGAAGCGGAGTATGGAAAGAGGGAAAGGCTTAAGTTTGAGGTTAACTCATCTTTGTTTTTAACTCATTTTTTTAAAATCTTGCTCCAAATTTTATTAGCCTTTTAAAATGTGAACTTATGCTAATATAAGTAAATCTGTAGTTTTGCTGCTTAATGAAAGTTCTATTTTGTGAAGGGAAAGCCTGTCATTATGAAAGTGGGCTAAGGGGATCCAGAGGGTTTGAATATTGAGGCTGCAAACCAGGCAGCTTCATTCATAGTCAGTACCTGGGCTGAAAAGGAGCGTCACCTTTGGAATGTTGACCAAATAAAATAATGGCAGACATCGCAGTACCAAAATGGAAAATCCAACACACTGACTTTATTTCCAGTGTGAATTTTGAGTCAATGGAACCCTTGCCAGTGGTGGAGAAACGGAAAGAGCATTGAACCTGGAGGCAGAGGACTGGGTTGCCTGTGTTGCTGCCACTTGTTTGCTGCGTGGGCTTGTGCAAACCATTTAACTTCTCTGAGCTCAGTTTTTTCATTGATAAAATAGTGATGATAGGAGAAAGGTCCTTGGAAAGTCTTCATTTTCTAGGAGCGTGAGGCTGAATCTTCTAGAGAGGTTATGGACAGGATTAATAAAACCCCATGTTTGACCATGACTAGCATAGTGCCTGGAGCAAAGTGAGCACTCCAACACTGCTTGCTACCTTCCTCATTCCTTCACTCGGTGCTGAGCACTAAGACCACAGCAGGTCCCTGTTAACTGAGAATAACATGTTCAACAGCATCTGCTGCTCTGCCTTAGCCCCGCCACCGCTTTTCTGTTGGTGGGTAGCAGAAGGTATGATGCTGCCTGAGCATGTATAATCCATGTCTCCTGGGACTTAAGCACTTGGGAAGCAACTGATTCTTCTCCATATTCGGGTTTCAAAATAAAACTTCTAAACTAGATAGAGGTCTAATTTAAAACTGGAATGATCAAGTGGTTCAAATGATCAGTGTCTGCTATTTACCATGGCCAAGACATGGAAACAACCTAAATACCCATCGACAGACAATTGGCTTAAGAAGATGTGTGTGTGTGTGTGTGTGTGTGTGTGTGTGTGTGTATGGAATATTACTCATTTGTAAAAAAGAATGAAATATTGCCATTTGCAGCAACATGGATGGACCTAGAGACTATTATACTTAGTGAAGTGTCAGAGAGAAAGATAAATATTGCAATACTATATGATATCACTTATATGTAGAATCTAAAAATAGTACAAATGAATTTCTATACAAGACAGAAGCAGACTCACAGACATAGAAAATAAACTTATGGTTACCAAAGGGGAGAGGGAGGGAGGGAGAGAGGGAGGGACAAATTGGGAGTATGGGATTAATAGATACAAACTACTATACATAAAATAGATAAGCAACAAGGATTTACTATATATAGCACACGGAATTATATTCAGTATCTTGTAATAACCTATAATGGAATATAATATGAAAAAAATAAATGAGTCACTTTGCTGTATGTCTAAAATTAACAATCTTTTAAATCAACTATACTTCAATAAGAAAAAAATTGATCAGTGTTTGAGAAAGAAAAGTCAGATTCCACAGAAATACTTAGAAAAGGAGGCACTAGCTAGGATGAGCTCTGGGCTGGAGGGTGTCAGCCTGCAGGTGGGGTGTGGAGGTGGGGGCCAGAAGAAGAGAAGGCTGCCTCAACATTCCTTCATCAACTGCAAATTGCTCTGCCAGGGAGGATTCCCCACTTGGGATCAATAAGCTGTTCTCAGCTGATACTCTTTAAAGCCTAGAAAAGTGTGGAAGCAATCATACCGTGGGGGAGTTTCCACGTGGCCCCAGGCGTGCTGAGGTAGAAGAATGAAAGCTGCCCTAGAGAGCTTAAGAGAGAGGAAGGGAAACAGCTGTGAGCATCTCTGGACAGAAGAAACCCGTGACAGACGCACACACGGTGAGAAAGAGAAAAGGAGCAGGGAGACAGGGCAGCAGGAAACAGCACATTTCCATTCATTTCATCTTAAAAACATAATGGTCTTTTAAAAAAAAAATCAGGAACTGGTTCATCCTGTATGAAAATTTGTTTTTAGCAAGTGAGTAAACAAGTCAGGTTTTAACTTAAAAAATATAATTCTCTCCTGTTCACTGTCTCATCAATGTAGGCTTGATAGTACATAGTAAAGCTACAGAGTTTAATACTATAGAGGATAGTAGAGTTTAACACTGCATGTGTTGAATTTAACTTGTGACTAGTTTAGGATTGGATGAAACTGGACAGATCCAAAGATGGAAATATGGTCTTTATTGCTTCTTCTTTCACGTGGGCTGGAAGACTGTTGGTCTGTAAAGTAACCAAGATGATAGGAACATATGTTGGGAAACTAAATTAAAAGAAATATGGAAAAGGGGGAGGTAGCTACCACCTATTATGCTGTGCATCTCAATCTTTCTTTGTTTGCTCATCTGATAAATTAGGATAATAATGCCCGTGGGCTTGTGTAAATAAGATTATACAGCTCATGTGAGAGGGCTTGACCTATAGGAGTAGATAGTGGATGCATCAATGTTGGTTCGCTTTCTCTGGCAGAGCACCACGTTCTCTGGTGGAACATTTGTTGACTGCCATGCAGAAATGCGTTTCATGTCACCTAAGGCAAATGGGGTGTTGGTGATTGAGCTTAAGTTTTCTTTTCCTCAACCTCGAGGGACAAGAGTTAAGTTAGGAGGGTAGATATTTCGTGTTTCTTGCTATGTCAGAGAGTTTGCTGGGGGGGGGCGGTTGGGGAGCGGGGAGGGTGATGGCTTTTCTGGTGCCTCTGTTAATCATACACTAAGTGGTTGCCAGGCAGCTGAAACAGCTACATTTTTTGGCATGGTTTACTTACTGCTGGCCTATAGAGAGGTAGCCTTAGAGAGGTTCCCAGAGGAGACTCAACAGTAAGTGTCCACTCCTCTTAGATACCCTGCTAAGCACTTTCAAATGCAATACCCCGTTTGCTTCTCAGACTTACTCTAGGAAGTAACATCCCCACTTTAAGGAAGGGACATCACAACTGAGAGAGGTTGATTTGCCTGCAGACTTATTACAATCGGCACCCGTACCCTGAGGCTAGAGCTAAATATTGAGCCTGAGTTCCTTGTGAGCTGGTAGAAGGGGAAGGAGAGAAGAAAAAGGACCAAGTCTGTCAGTATTGATCTAAACTCCTCATTGCTTCTGTTGTGCACATCTCTGCAGTGTTCTCAGGCAACCTCTGGAGGAATCCAGCACACATGGAATATCTCCAGCCACCCCACAGCACATCCCCAGAGCTTCAGCTCAAGAGGTAAGCCGCAGCCCACTCTGCATGCCACTGCAGAGGGCTACTTACAGAAGGGACTGTTTCAGAGTTAACTTCATTTCATTGATGAGTTTCATTTCATTGTCAAACAGACTTGCCTAGGTTGTCCACGAACACTCCTTCATGTAGGAGCCAAGTTGTGGGGTGATTTATAGGGGTGTTGTTACTTAACATTATTGCTATTCTTACAGTGATGAAAGAAACCACCACTTCTTAAACATTTGCTGGCTGTGGACCAGCATTTCACATATATCCTCTCTTTTAATTCTGACAACAACTCAATGAAGTAAATATTATCATTCTCATTTTATAGACAAAAAAATTCAAGGAGGTTAAGAGGCTGCACAATGCCCTCTTTTTTTTTTTTTGCAGTACGCGGGCCTCTCACTGTTGTGGCCTCTCCCGTTGCGGAGCACAGGCTCCGGACGCGCAGGCTCAGCCGCCATGGCTCACGGGCCCAGCCGCTCCACGGCATGTGGGATCTTCCCGGACCAGGGCACGAACCCGTGTCCCCTGCATCGGCAGGCGGACTGTCAACCACTGCGCCACCAGGGAAGCCCTATGCCCTCTTTTTAATACTCAAGAATGTGGTCTTTCCACCTCACCATAGTCTCTCAAATAATTATTCTCTACATTGAAATGAGGCGTGAAGACTGGGCTCTGGGATTTCAAGACTGCTGCACTCCTAAATGAATTTCGTCCTCTATAAAGTTAACTTCCATCCCCTAAACCTTTACACTGAGATAAATTAATGGATCAAAGATAGGAAAGGTGATCTCTGTCCCTTTCAAGGCATCTCTCAAGTTTATGATTCTGAAGCCAGGGTACTCCCGCTGGACTTAGCTTTGAATTGTTCCTCACACTCCACCACGGATGCTCACAAGATTGTTGCCTCTTTCTTCCTAATGTTTCCTGTATTCATTCCTTGTCGTCTAATGGCACTGTCACCACTCTCCTGTATTATTTCAATAACTTCCTAACTTCTCCTTGCCTCCAGGCTTTTCCCATTCTAAATCTTGCTCCTAGATCAGTCTTCCCAGAGTCATTTTGTAAGTGTCAGTTCCCATTCAGAAACATTCCATTGGTATGATGCATCCATTTAGGCTGGTGTTGGACATGATATGGAAAAAATGATCACAGTATGTTATTAAATGAAAAAAAAAAGTTACAAAATACACCCAGTGTTCCTATGGGTGATCTATGTGTGGTGGAATCATGGATGACTTTATTTTCTTTTTGCTTATTCAGAGCTTTTAAATTTTTGGCAATAAACATTCTTATAAGATAAAAAACTAGAAGGTACAGTAAAAAATAATGAAAAGGTATTCAGGATAGTGTAAAAGAGAACAATAATGAGATTCTATTCCATTTTTTTAAATTGAATGTATTTGACATAACATTGTGTAAATTTAAAACATGTTACTTTGATACATTTATATATTGTAGTATGATTGCCTTTGTAGCTATATTTATCATTACGTAATTATAGTACAATATTGTTGTCTATATTCATTATACTTGGATTTGATCACTATGGCTTATTTGCTACTCATTGTAAGTTTGTACCCTTAAACAACATCAATCTTATCTCCCAAGATTCCATTTTTTTTACCATTCAATTAGCAAAAAAAGTAAAAGAGTTACAATGGCCTGTGTTTCCAGGGGTGTGAGAAAGGGCATGCTCATGCACTGTAGGTGGGGAAGTAAACTGATACAATTTTTGTGGAAGATAATGTGCAGTATTCATTAAAGTGAAAAATTTGCATATGCTTTTACCCAACAGCTCTAATTTTAGGAATCAATCGTATAGAAAGACAGTTCTCAAAGTTTAAGCTAGGCTAACAACAGTAGCATCACCTGAGCAATTTTCAGGTGCAACCCCTAAGCTACTAAATCAGAAACTATGGGAGTGGCATCCAGGATCTGTGGTTCAACAAATCACCTGGAGAGGTGATTCTGATGCATGTTGACATTTTAGAGCCACTACAAGAAATACCCTTCCTAAGGAGGTACCTTTGTGTGAACAAAGGCACAAGGGTTACTGTACAATGATATACGTTACTACCTTATTTGTAATGTTGTAAAATTAAAAACAACCTATGGGGACTTCCCTGGTGGTCCAGTGGTTAAGACTTCACCTTCAAATGCAGGGGGTGCAGGTTTGATCTCTGGTCAGGGAGCTAAGATCCCATATGCCTCGCAGCCAAAAAACCAAAACATAGAACAGAAACAATATTGTAGCAAATTCAATAAAGACTTTAAAAATGGTCCACATCAAAAAAATCTTTAAAAAGCAAACAAAAAACCCCCTATGTATTCAGTAGGGAAATTGCTAAATAGGTTTTATTAATTTATCCTGTGAAATACTTATGCATTGGTTAAGGAGAAACTGTATTAGCATGGACAGATCATTAGTACATATGGCTTAATTTTTTTAAAAAGTATTTGGTTGGACAAAAAGCTCATTCGGGTTTTTCCATAAGATCTTACAGAAAAACCTGAATGAATTTTTTAGCCAACCCAATAATTTGCAGAAATAAATATCTATCATATTATTAACCACAGTTTATATTGTTTAAAAACAATAAATTCATTTATTACTTATGAAAAGAATATCCTCCCACTGGCTCCTATAATATAGAATTAAAACTTCTTAGCCTGGTAATGAAGGTCCTTCGTTATCTGCTTCAGACCTGATTCTCCAGCTCCATGCTCCCCACCCCCAGTATATCCATAAAGAAACTCTGTTACTATCAAATTATTCTGAGAATGGCTTACTACTTAGCCTTATTTCCATTTTTAGGTGAGGAAACTGAGAAATGTAAAGGTTGAGTGATGACTTGCCTATGGTCACATGGCAGCATTTGAACCTGGATGCCTTTTACCAAGTTGCAGCTCAAGTGTTTGTTCCACTCCTCCAAGCTGGTTGGCTAATTGTTCCCCAGTCTGGAACATACCTCTTTGCCTTTGCTCATGCCATTTTCCTTTCTTAAAGTGCTCTGAATCAAGTCTTACGTCCTCCATGAAGCCTTTCTCCAGGACCCTAATCAATGGGGGATCATCCTGAGGCCCTAACCCCCATGTAGTTAAACCTTTCATCAGGTACTGAGCCTCCCTCACCTGTTCTGCAGCATTCCAGGTTTATTCAAGGAGACTCTCATACCTTGGGACAGGGACTGCTCTGTTCTTTTTTGTTCTCAGTAATTGATCTGCAATAAGTGGTTGTAATTGATGAAAATGATGATGGATTTGTACTTGGATATTTGCTATCAATATGTCAAAGATTTGACTTACATAGCATCAGTGACAGCAATCAGAGAAGCCGGCTCCCAGCACACCAGTCCTTGGAATTTAGGAGTTGGATTAGGGATGCAAATGAGCCTTCTCTAGGTATATCTTTCCGAATAGTTTTGGCTTCTAAGTGGTATAAATGTTTTACTTATTCACAAAATAAAACCGTGTGAAAAGATAAAAAATAAAATAAACTTTACATTTTAATACAAACAGAAACAAATGCATCAAATTGTTTATCAAATTGACAATCTAGGGCTTCCCTGGTGGCGCAGTGGTTGAGAGTCCGCCTGCCGATGCAGGGGACCACGGGTTCATGCCCCGGTCCGGGAAGATCCCACATGCCACAGAGCGGCTGGGCCTGTGAGCCATGGCCGCTGAGCCTGCACGTCCAGAGCCTGTGCTCCGCAACGGGCGAGGCCACAACAGTGAGAGGCCCGCGTACCTCAAAAAAAAAAAAAAAAATTGACAATCTAACCACACAGAGAAAAGGATTCAAGTAAAATTCTGAACATAGTGCTCTATGTGCAGTTTCTCAGTGTAGGGATAAAAAGGACTTCAAAGAAATTTTAATTTTACTTAGTTGGTTATTTGTTAATAATTATAATGCTATTGGAATCCTAAAACTATTCTATGCATATTGTTGGACAAAGCAAATAACTAAATGTATTGATGTCATCATGTAGTAGGCAAAATAACACCCCCCTTCCCAAGTTGTCCACATCTGGAACCTGTGTTTGCATGGTAAAAGAAACTTTGCAGATAGAATTAAGATTAATTCTTAATTTAGGGAGATTATTCCATATTATCTTGAATGGGCTCAGTGAAATTGCAGGGGCCCTTAAACGTAAAAGAGAAAGGCAGAAGAGCAGGTAAGGGGGGGAGAGGCAGGAGACAGTCAAGTTATGAGAAGGACTCAACCTGCCACTGCTGGTCTTGAAGTTGGAGAAAAGGGGTCATGGGCAAAGGCATGCAGTCGGCCTCCAGAAGCTGGGAACAGCCCTCAGTTGACAGTCAGTAAGGAAATAGGGACCTTAATGCTCCAGCCACAAGGAACTGAATACTGCTCACAACCTGAATGAGCAAGAAAACAGATTCTTCCATAGAGATTCCAGAAAGCCCTGCTGATACCTTGATTTTACGCTGGTGAGATTCATAACCAGCCTTTGACAGAAGTGTGAGAGAACAAATATGTGTTGTTTTAAGCTGCTAAATTTGTGGTAGTTTTTATGGTAGTGTATTGGTTTGCTTGGGCTGCCATAACAATGTACCACAAACTGGGTGACTTGAACAACAGAAAATCTGGCAGCCGTGTCCAAAATCAAGGTGTCGCAGGCTTGGTGCCTTCTGGGGGCTATGAGACAAGGATCTGTTCCAGGTCTCTCTCCTGGGCCTGTAGATGACCGTCTTCTCCCTATGTGTTCACATCACGTTCCCTCTGTATGTGCCTTTGTACCCAAGTTTCACCTTTTCATAAGGGCACCAGTCATAGTGCATTAGAGCCCACCTTAATGACTTCATTTTAGCTTCATTACCTCTGTAAAGACCCTATCCAAATAAGATCACATTCTGAGATACTGGGGGTTAGGGAACTCAATATGTGTGTATATGTATATATGTATGTGTGTGTATATATATATATATATTTGTAAATTATGTATATACAAATTATATTTTGTTTATAAATTACACAC